GCCAGCACACGGGCACACTGCAGACACAGTCACACACTCACACCCACACGCCAGCACACGGGCACACGTAGACACAGTCACACACTCACACGCCAGCACACGGGCACACTGCAGACACAGTCACACACTCACACTCACACCCACATGCCCACACGGCAGCACACAGGCACACGTAGACACAGTCACACGCTGACACTGACACCCCCCACACCCCCATGCTGCAGTCTCACCTCCTCACTCACCCTCTGCAGACCCTGTCATTCCTGATCTTTTTGGAAATTTCTTTCTCTTGGCCCATCCTTGCTGAGAACCTAGAAGTTGGGGGGTCCTGCTGTGTACCACAGCCGACCCTCGGGTAGTGCCCCCTGTTGGTATTGAGCACCCTGGAGATCCTGGGGACAGAGCCACACTCAGGGTCTGGTGGCCCCGGGCCTGCCTGCCCCTACTTGCCCCGGGCTAAGGTGCGTGGACAGCGCCCTCTGCAGACCATTTGTGCCCCTGTGCAGTGCAGCTCCTGCAGGGGGCTCCAGGGTCTGCGAGGGCACAGGCACCTGCAGCTCCCCTCCTCGGGCACCTTAGCCTTTCTGGCCAGACAGACCGGGCTGCGTGGACTGGGGATGTGGCCCCTCCCAGGGTGTCCCTGTCGTCCCTGAGGCACATGCTCCAGGCAGCTCTGTCCGTGGCTGGACTGGTGTTTGTCAGGCATCATGGGCGTGGGCACCACAAGCCTTAGTCAGGCTTGGACAGGCCTGGCACCCATGGCTAGGCACCTAGGAGCCCTCCCACCCCTTGTGGGGCAAGCACTCCACCCCGGGCAGAGGCGGCCAGGACTCCAGAGCTCGCTCCACACTTGTCCTCCACCCACCCAGACCCTTCTCGCTGATCCCAGACGGCCCTCCTTTGTGCACCTCATGCACTGCCCGCACATGCTGGGCAGAGGGCAGCCAGGTGCACAGGTGCCCATTCCCGGCCAGGGAGAGGCTACCACGATGGGGGGGTGGCAGCTAGACCCCTCCCCACCCTCACTCGAAGCCCCAGCTAGGGCTGGCTGCTCTGACTGACCAGTGTCGACAGGGAGCAGTGGGGGTGGAGGCCCAGTGGGGGCTGGTAGGGGAGAGATAGGGCAGGCGGGAGGTAGGCGTGGCAGGTCAGGCCAGTCTGTGTCTCCCGGGAGCTACAAGGGGCCAGCAGACAGGAGTGGCCCGAAGGGTCCAGAGTCTGGAGGGAAGGGCTCCCCGGGAGCTGGCCAGAGGGGTGAGGGCAAGTGCACCCTGGGAGGATGGCGCCTGCCCGCCGTGGGCTTGTGCAGTGCTGGGGAGAACCCTGCCATAGTGCCGGGGTACACAGTGCAGGTGGGCCCCGCGCGGCAGCTGGGGTCGGACATCTAGTAGGTACGCGTGGAGCCGGGGCTGGGCCGACCCGGGGCTGTGTGCAGCGCGGTGGCCTCTGGGGGCCTGCATGGCATCAGTGTGGGCAGTCCTCCTGCCTGAGCTGCCACGGGCATGGCCACACCCCAGGAGCCTCCTGCATGCTGGGAGTGGGCTTGCTCCCCAGGGGCAGCATGCCCGGCTCAGCCCTGCCCTGTCCTCCTTCCTGCGGCCCGGGATGCTTTGTCTGCGACCTCGGTCCCCACCGCCCTGGCAGCACCACTCCAGGCTTCTCCAAGCCCGCCCGGGCCTCCCCTGGCTCTTGCCCCCTGCCAGCTCCTTGGGCTTCCTGGAGCTGTCTCCCGCCCAGCCCATGGCCAGCCCACAGTCCCTCTGCACGTGCTGGTGCTCCTCCTGCATGCTGGCCTCTGCCTCTGCTCAGCCCCTCCTCAGACTCCAGGGAGTCACCTTGGCTGTCCTCCCGCTGTGGACTCTCCTATCAGGTCTGTCACCCTCCGCAGCCCTGTGTAGCCCGAGGGACGTGGAGGGCGGTCACCCTGTGCAGGAGGCCAGCCAGCTGGGAGCAGGGTGGGTGT